GGAAGAAAGGAGAAAGCAGAGGGAGCATCCTGCTCTAGCAGTATACCACCGAAACAGGAACTCATTGTAATGAGTCAGGAACATGAGGGATCAAATCCCAGTTGCCAGTTTGAGTGAACGAGACTTGACGGGTATCTTATACAGTCTAGCTTGTGTACTTTGTCATGCCAATAGAGCTCAATTGGTTAGAAATGAAATGAAAGATGTGAGCCCTCAGCTTTCATTTCTTCTAGTCTCCATGCCGGAAAAGCTCTTCAGGATAAACTGTGAGCCTTATACTTCTTGGTGAAGGGAAGTGTCATGTTCTGATAGCTTGTAATAGTTTAACGTTCAGTTATTTGGTTAGCTACTCCTATATGTGTGGGAAGAAAGAAATAAATTGTTGATAAGCATATAACTTGCTAGATATATTTGGAAGAATCATCTAAGATGCAATAGTTGCAATTTCAAAATTTTCTGAAAATACAAGTATCTCTAAACACCACCAGAACCAATGGAGAATGTTTTGTAGTGTAACTGTGTCTACTGGTTGATTGCATGTTTTACTTTCCCACGGTCAGGGAACTTCTGAAAAATCTCCCACAAAGATTCGCTGGTACCTAATAAAAGGAGAACCAGTGTGACAGGCTCTGTCATATAGGCTTTTTTCCTTAACAACCTGATTGCATTGCAGCAATTTTATTGCTTCTGAAATACTCCTGCGTTAAAGTTTGTTCAAAATGGCTTCCAAGTTCAAAAGTTGCATAGAGGCTTATAAGGATACTCACATAAACCTTGTTTTTTTAGAAAGCCAAGCCAAAAGCACTCATGTAATAGGCCACCAGCGAGGACTGTCCAAATGCGCTGGGTGAGGCCACCTCTTGTACCATTTCTGGCTAATGAAACCAGGACTAACCAATCTGTCCTCTTGACTGAGTTTTTAGCTTCCTTCTATAACACTAGTGGGAAAAAAAGAAAAAAAGGCAAAAAGCAAAAATCTTGTCCATCGGTCAATGAAAGTGCTTAGATAAACATAGGTACTGTTGATACATTTCTGGAGAGATTCCTACAACTAATATATGTAGGTTCACCCCTATACATTCTCATGAAGCTCACAGGGTTTTTTATATAGGAACCATTTGCATAGTGAACATGAAATAAGGTGCAAAACAGTGGAGTCTGTCTCCTTATGACTAGATATGTCTTTCGGCAGTGTCTCTCCTATATATCAGGTAGCTCATCGGCTTGACTTCTGATAAGCTAACCAGTTCCATCTGGGTTGTGGTATCTCAGGACAAGGGAGAAGCTACACACCTATGAACTAGGCAAGTGGGCAATCATAGGCTCCACTGTAGTCTAATTTTGCAGACTTAGAGATTTCAAATAAAAAGAGTTTTGCAAGTTATGGAAAAAAACCAGACAGGTATGAATGGTAAGAGGACATGAAGCACTCTCAGAACCATTCATAAATACCAAACAACAAAGTTTGAACTGACTTAATTTTAAAGCTTGGAAAGCAGGAAATCCGGCTGCATTTTAAAAGCTGAAGATGCTCAGAGTGGGGTGTAATAAGGTACAAAGAGAAGAGCTCTTCAAAGCTGTGCTTAGCAGCACTATGATATGTGACTGACAACCACCTTATAAAATATTAAGCTATTTTCAATAGTAATGTGGAAAAAATTATTAGAATAAACACTGAGATGTCTAAAAATAGTATGTTATAGAAACTGTGGGCTTTTTTTTGTTTTCAATGTGAAAGCCAACTACATATCAAAAGTGTAACTGTTTTCAGTTTATGCCTGAATCTATACTCTAAATTAAACTCATACAAATATGTTTTTCTTTTTTATACTTAGACTTGAGGATCAAAATCTGAATATATAATGAGCAGAAACTATGGAAATCTGGCTGAATTAAATTTCCATGTTTGGAAGTACAAGGCTTATGTGGTTATGTGTCTACTATAAAAAGGGAAAAGAATATTCTTTTTCTACATTCCTGTCCCTTCCTCAAATAAGCAGTTTCCCCCAATGAAATTCCTATCTTGAATGCTAATTTGCAAGAAAAATGGAGTCCGATGGGGAAAAAAAAAATACTCACTAGTACATGCTGAATTCAGTGAACAGTTTCCATTGAGAAGTATTAAGACTTTTTTTTTGGTGTTTTCTAATGGAACTTTGATAATTGTTATTTAACTGACATATTTTTATGTGCATATATACATACATACTTTCTTAAAGAAAAAGACATAAACCATGGAAAGCTTAAAGTACCTTTGCCTCCTCCATACAGAGGAAAAAAGAGAGTAAGATAGTGCAAGAGAGAGAGAAAAAGGAAAAAAATGAAAGAGAATAACTACTATCTCTGACTCTGGAAGCCTCAGAGATGCAAGCTGTTGAAGTCCAAGAGAGAATTATTAGGAAGCATCACTGTATACTTGTTACAGTACTTCCTGGGCTTCCACTGTGGTTGCTGCTTTCTGCCCCCTCGGGACCCCCACAGACCATCAGAGCCACTGGAGCACGGACAACAACTGCTGTAGTAGGAGAGCCCATGATGGGTGGCAGGGATCTCCCAGCCTCGCAGGAGAGAACATACCAGGGAGGGAGGAGAAGGGTTGGAGAGGGAAGATGAGACCACTCTTGGAACTACTATCATGCTTTACTCTCCAGGAGTTGAGAGGGATGAAGATGGTTCCTCTCCTCCAAAACCTCCTGGGTAGGCTTTGGTTGCTGCTGGAGACAATGTAAGTGCTATTTAGTCCTTTCTTTCAACCCATTACTCTGACAGCAGCTAATGTAACAGAACTCCAAACGAATTATGGATTTTTAGCCTGCAAAATCTAATAATTTGAAAATCTGCCTCTCAGTAGACGCCCAAGTTATTGTTCTTTTCTTTAATTAAGAAAATCTACTGTTTGTCTAACTCCATTAACAAGAACAGTAGAAATGATCCTACATACCTTAAAACAATTTTGAGATGGCAACAGGAGAGAAAACAAGAAAATATGCCTCTCCAGTACTCCTCAAGAATAGGTAAGAAAAAGCTGCAAAACAGCCTTGCTTACCAGAGATTGTCTGGTCACAATGTCTGCTCAGAAATTTACTGGTCAACTCTTGTAAAGAAAATTCAGTGTCAGATTTTGGCCATAAGAGATGTCACTGTAACTAAATATGTATATGTATAAATATTAAATGCATATTTTATATATCTATATATAAAGATGAGTCAATTCTATCTAAGTTTTCCATCCCAAATACATATTTTGTGAGCTTTTTGTGACTTTATATACAGTTTCTTGGTGTGTTAGTGTTTTTATTACCGCATCTGGCCCTGCGCAAGGCTTCAAAATAATTTCAGAAATGTAAATGAGTCCTTTGTTAGAACCCGGAATAGAAAATTTCCCTAAGGGCTAAATTATTTACTTTTCTTTTTTAGGTACTGCTATACAATTTTAACTGTAACTCTGTGTAGAACTTATGGCACTATTCCAATTTCCTCTAATGACAGTGTCAAATATTTTTTCAATTGGAAATTGCTCAAAAGTGTAATGATTTCTGTTAGTTTGTCTGAAATGAGACAAAAGGCTTATTTTGCTTAGGCCACAAAACAGATGTTGATAATGTTTGGTTACCACCAGTCTTGTCTGGACTTCAAACAGATGACCTGGAAGTGAAAGGTCTTATATCTCATTAATAATAATACAAGCTGTCAAATCCTCATGACCTAGTGTGTTCCTTAGCACCGGGCAGTAAGTCAATACACTCAGCACACTACCAAGAAGTCTAGATAGAGAGCTTATCACATTTAGCCCTCAAGCCAGTGGGGACTAGCTACCCATGCTGGTTTGGATGGAAGATCAGCTTTTGTTTAGTAGTAGTATTGCTGTTTTCTAGAAATATTTCTACACTGAAATTCAGAGTTGCTAAAAGTTAGGGCACTGCTGGGATGCTGCATCTCACTTAAACCTTCCTGGCACATTTGCATTGTAGGAGGTATCCTTCCACCTAGAGACAGAGACAGATGTCCAAGAAGGGAAGATTCTATACTGAAGGTTAAGATATGTTAAGACTAAGATGCCTTAAAGACAGTGGCTTTCTTTGGGTTTGTTCGGATGAGTTGTCCAATATCCTCGTATAATGGAGTGAATAATATTAATTCTTGCAAGACTATGTGAGGCTGTAATTTACCGTGGTTTATAAGGAAGTCAAATTCTGAGTTGATTGAGCCCATGCAAGTAACCAGACAGATGCCTGCCAAAGCCTTTTGTCTTCCTAAAATAACCCAAAGCCTCATATCCTCCTATCTTTACTTCCTTTTTTCTTTCTAGAAACTACTTTTTAGAGAATAGCAAAAGACTTTGTCAGGGATAGTTTGCTTGGGGCCTATTTGCTGTTGCCACCAGACATATGACAAAATAGATTAAATGTGCTCCAGTTACTGAACATGTATCTTTCAAGATTGTCATTAAGGCTAAATTCTGCTCTCGGATGTGCACAAAAATTCTCAGCAAGTCAACTGCAGTTTCACAACAAAGAGAAGAGAACGTACTTCTAAAATGTAAAATTCATAAAACCTGAGTGGTTCAACATGCATTCTGTGGGGTTTTTTGTTTGTTGGTTGTTTTTTAATGACCTATTTTAGGGCAAGATCAGTGCTTTAAGAAAAAAATTTGGGGAAAGAATATTAATCATCTATTAAAACATATTTGCATTTGAGAATGACAGTTTGCAATATTAGAATACATCCATATATTTTTCATTTTGAAAAAATCACCTACTAAGCAGAAGACAAATTGTTAGCAAATTTACATTCTTGGGCTCTTAAGAGAAAAGGTAAGTATTTAAGAGCCCTACTGCAGCATTAGAAAATAGAAAAGGAAATGAAAAGGGGAAGAGTTAGTAATGTCAACTCACTACAGTGGATTTGATTGTACTACCCACAGATTCGCAATATATTAGAAAACTGTTAAAATTGACTGGGCTATCTCAATCATTAGTTCTAACGGAGATGTGACTTGCCTCTTGAAGTGAACAGTCTGGGAAGAAAAGGAGCTAAAACTGAAACAGAAAAATGTAAAATATTTTAATATGCAAATGCTAGAATAAGAACAACATCTTTTGATAACTCATACTGTAAGACAGCTAAAATACTGCTTTAGACAAAAATCTTGATGCAAACTTAGAAGTCATAATTCTAAAACCATAATAACATGGAATCTGATTTTTATATTTTATTAAAATGCTGCTTAATATAATGAAATCTGACCACTGCCATTGCCACATATGGAATACTAAGATTATACAATAAAAATATTCAGACTATAATTATTTAAAAATTCTCCATCCCATATGTAATTTATCAAAGTGAACTTTACATTGATTTGTGCCACATGGTTGATGAAAAACTATAAAGAGTCTCTGGAACAAAAGGTATGTACAGATAACTGTACGAACTGTCTCAATCTGTTTCAAACTTTTTCTTTTTTTTTTTTTTAACTTCATAAATCAAAATATTGTAATATTTATATTCTCATAGTTAAAAGTCTTCTGAAACCTAAGGTCCTGTCTTTTTAAAAGGTGCCTTAGATTCATGGAATAAACAATGTTAAATTGTTTTAGTTAAATGTGGACAATCTTAAATCAATTTAAACCTGATTTACAAAGATTTTGTTTAAATCTTATCCCTTACAGAGACAATCCAAATTGTTGTAAACTAGGTTTAAATTGATTTAAGCTTTAAAGTTAAATTGGAGGCATATTTGAATATAGAAATTCCTATGTGTCATTCCACTCTGAACAGTAACTAGATATGAATGATGCTGTGATATACCATAACTTGCTATATCTTAAAAGATTTACAGATCACATACACTGAGTCTACATAACTCTTTAGAATTAGGCAAGCATGGACAGTGTGGCTTTATTGGGACCTGCTCTTCAGAGCCATCAGAGGTTGTTCTAACTTCCTTAAGCATGAAACCCTCCTTCCTTGGCTGCTGCTTTTCTTGAATTCAGTTATGGGGCACAAGTTCCAGAGTCACATTGTATATACTGAGAAATGCGGAAAACCGTGACAAAAAAGTGACTGCAAAGTCATGCAGCAAAACAGAGGATATGGAGAGATTTTTTTTTTATTTTTTTTTTTTTTCTCTGACGGGTAAAATTTACAGAAGACACATAGGACACTGTGTGGGACCATTAACTCTCAGAATAATTTTTGCTCCAAAAATGAGCAAGAGTTGAGTAGCAAACGCTGGAGTGAATCTAATAGAAAAAATGAGGTAGTGGAATGTGGGTCCTTTTCGAGAAGTTCATGGGTTTTGGTACACATATTAGCAACATTATCACATCACCTCACCAGACTTGGAGTTGCCTTGCTTGCCCTGTCAGTGTTGATAGGGAACACAAAGGCTAATTTCTGACAGTGTTAGGACAGACATCCTGTCAGTATTTCAATAGTTAATTTGTTTCAATTTCTACATTTTCTGTTTTTCTAATACTGGCAATATCTCCCAATTTCTACAATTGTAAAAGCCAAGGACTAGAAGTACCATGCCATGTCCTGAAGGAGCAGGGAATGTCATCTATGTAGTGATCTCTAGTAAAAGGGCACATTGTACATTAACACGTAAGGGCGCATTGAAATATGTTTTTGAAGAAAGATGTAGCTATAGGTATTGTATTGCATAGGCATGTTTGAATGAAATGGCAGTGTGGGGAACTTCATAACTGACTGGGAGATTTTCCGGACTGGGCAAGAATTTTTCATGTCCACTTTGCAGTTCTAATTAGTATTTCATTGTAACTGCATATTGCAGCCTTTAAACTATAGGTACTCTATGAATATTTATTAATAGTTGGAAGCATTCTCTGAAAGATAAGAATTTAGCCAAAGCAGTACCGAGTTTTCCTTCTAAAGGAGAAAGGGACATGGATCAAATTATCACACTAATAGTCCTGCTTGATGCACTACTGTACTGGCTTAAGACAACAGTGTCTCAGCAAAGGTTAGCTGCAGATTGAGGAAGCAAGCAGATTTACATATTAACTGTGATAATCATATACTGAAGGTTGCTCTCACATAAAAGCATTTACTTCCCCCTTTGCTCTGCTCTAGTTTCAGAGGATGAGACTACCATGTAGGCATTTTTTTTCTTTTTTCATTTGTTTATCTTTTTACTTTTTTTCTTTTTTTTTTTAACCATCCATTTATGATCTTATCTTTTCTACAAATATCCACTATGGCATCAGAAGAAAGTGCAGGAGCAAAGATAGCTAGTTTAGAAATTCAATTATGCAGAAAAAATCCTGAGACACCACAAAACTTCCCCTTAGTGAAATAGTTTAATAAAAGTATTCCTAAATAAATTAACCTAAAAAAATTCATACTGCATTTCACAGTTCTCACTTTTTTAACTCATCTGAGAGGAGAGTACATTTTCAACTTTCAACTTGCCTTTCTTTCCAGACTACTTTCCCAGGAAAGGTAATATTGCCTCAAGACAGAGCTGTAACAGAACCTGTTAGAAGATGGATAAAACTGAGACCTCACTGCATACCTTCACCAAGGGAGAAAGGACCAGAAGGCTCTCTCATGTACATATTTACAGAGGATTCATTCCCAGCTTGTATGCTAATTAACAAAGTTCATAGTTTGGTTACAGTTTCATTCCTTCCTAGTCCTTGCTTAAAGCAGTCAACTTTTTCCCTCGCTGTGACAGATGGGTTGAGATACTGCAGATCCCCCTTACTCTATCACGGAGAGAACTGGGTGCCAGCAGGAGCGCAGGTGTCTCTCCACAAGCTGTGTGGCACTTGGGATCAGGTCATGAATGCACACAATCACACTCTGATTCACAAAACCCTGAACTGTGGAATTAACCCGCATTTCCATTTTAACCAAAAGAGACGTTCCACAGTGGTTTTACAGAATTTTCAACAAGTCACAGGCAGTAATAAAAGCACTTCAGGTATTGCTATCTCTCACGTGTCTGCTGAAAGACACTGCAATGGGCACATGCTTTGTAATCAGTTCCCTTAGTTCATGGAAGTAGGACGTCATATTAACTCTAGAACACAAAGAATCTATTCATACTGTAATTGTATGCTTAGTTGTCAATACCAAGACACTAACCTCAAAGGTTAAGAACTAACAAGTTTAAAAGAGCCTTTTGGCTCATATCTTGTAATGAAAAGTATAATTACCTGCAAGGTTGTCAATCTCTTTCTCTTGGAGCAGACTAACAGCATCATCATCTCCTTCCAGCATAAGCTCTGTTTCTGCATTCTGATTTACCACAGCTTGACTTCGGAAAGTTTTCTTTGACTTCACTACATCCTCTTCAGTGCCTAAAAAAGTTACAAATGTTGTGAATTTAGCTGAGTAATATTTAAAATATAAACCAACCACAGTCAAGTAGTAAAAAAATACAGTATAAATCACGTTTATCGAAAAAGGGAAGAAACATTTTCTAAAACTTTATGAAGGTTTACAATGCAGCCTTATTCTGTCTTTCAAAATGTATCTTGAATAAAATAAAAACTGTTTCACAAAGACTCTCCTGCTTTTAATATTTGCTATGTACTTTATGTTCAATGTTGTTCCATTAGTTTTCCACCTGTAAGAAATTCAGCATGAGTTTCTCTTGGGTTCCTGGTGTCTTGACTCAGACTGACATCTGAGAGCTCAAACCACCCATTCTAAAGAAAGAAGTTGCTTTCAGGAATTCAAAATCTGTCATGATTTTTGTCTTAGAAATAAGGAGGGACAGGACGGTGAAGTAGGAGATGGGATATCTCAATATATGGTAATAGGCTATGTGGAGATTCAGAAAAGATTGAAAAAAGACAAGCATGGTGAGGGAACTTTGATGTGCATCTGTGTGTGGTGTTTAAGGAGCACAATAAAAATGTCAGTGTGCCAATTACCTCAAAGGACTTCACAGGTAAGTCTTACCCTTACTTCTTGCCTACAACTGACTTTTTCTATTCAGACTGTTGGTGCCTTATGGCAGGGGATACAGAATCATAGAATTGTCTAGTTTGGAAAAGACCTTTAAGATCATGAAGTTCAACCATTAACCTAACACTGTGAAGTCCACCACTAAACTATGTCCCTAAGTGCCACATATATGCATCTTTTAAATACTCCAGGGATGGTGAGTCAATCACTTCCCTGGGCAGCCTGTTCCAATGCTTGACAGCCCTTTTGGTGAAGACATTTTCCTAATATCCAATCTAAACCTCCCCTGGTGCAACTTGAGGACATTTCCTCTTGCCCTATCACTTGTTATCTGGGAAAAGAGACAGACACCCACCTTGCTACAACCTCCTTTCAGGAAGTTGTAGACAGCGATAAGGTCTCCCCTCAGGTTTCTTTTCTCCAGGCTAGATAACCTCAGATTCCTCAGTCTCTCCTCATAGTATTTGTGCTCTAGACCCTTCTCCAGCTTTGTTGCCCTTCTTTGGACACACTCCAGTACCTCAATGTCTTGTAGCAAGGGGCCCAAAACTGAACACAAGGATTTGAGGTGTGGTCTCACCAGTGCCAAGTACAGGTGGATGAGCACTTCCTTAGTCCTGCTTGTCAGACTATTTCTGATACAAGCCAGGATGCTACTCGCCTTCTTGGCTACCTGGGCACACTTCTGGCTCATATTCAGCTGTCTTGTTGACCAACACCCCCAGATACTTTTCCACCAGGCAGCTTTCTAGACACTCTTCCCCAAGCCTGTATCATTGTATGGTGTTGTTGTGACCCAACTGCAGGATCCAGGACTGAGAATTGTTGAGCCTCATACAATTGGCCTCAGTCCAGCAATCCAGCCTGTTCAGATCCCTCTGCAGAACCTTCCTACCCTCAAGCAGATCAGCACTCCCCCCCAACTTAGTCTTGTCTGCAAACTTACTGAGGGTGCACTCAATCCCCTTGTCAGATCATTGATAAAGATATTAAACAGAACTGGCCCTAATACCAAGCCCCAGGGAGCACCACTTGTGACCAGCTGCCAACTGGATTTAACTCCATTCACCACAAATCTCTGGGCCTGGCCATCTGTCCAAGCCACGAGCAGCCATTTTCTCTAGGAGAATGCTGTGGGAAATGGTGCGAAAGGCTTTAATAAAGTCAAGGTAAACAACATCCACAGCCTTTCCCTCATCCAATAAGCAGGTCGCCTTGTCGTAGGAGATCAGGTTTGTCAGGCAGGACCTGTCTTTCACAAACCCATGCTGACTGGGCCTGATCACCTGGTCGTTCTGTACATGTCATGTGACGGCGCTCAAGACAATCTGCTCCATAACCTTCCCCAGCACCAGGATCAGACTGACAGGTCTGTAGTTCCCCAAATCCTCTTTCTGGCCCTTCTTGTAGATGGTGTCACATCTGATAACTTCCAGTCAACTGGGACCTCTCTGGTTAGCCAGGACTGCTGATAAATGATTGAAAGTGGCTTGATGAGCACTTCTACCAGCTGCTTCAGCACCCTTGGGTAGATCCCATCCAGCCCCACAGACTTGTGTGTGTCTAAGTGGTGTAGCAGGTCGCTAACCCTTTGGATTACAGGGGCTTCATTCTGCTCACCGTTCCTGTTTTACAGCTTAGGGTGCTGTGTACCCAGAGAATAACTGGTGTCACTATTAACAACTGAGGCAGAGAAGCCATAAAGTGCCTCAGCCTTTTCCTCTTTGGCACTATGTTTCCCGCTGCATCCAACAATGGACAGAGATTCTCTTTAACCTCCTTTGTTGCTATTGTATTTATAGAAACATTTTTTATTGTCTTTTACAGCAGTAGCCAGATTAAGTTCTAGCTGGGCTTTGATCCTTCTAATTTTCTCCCTGCATAACCTCACGACATCCTTGTTGTCATCCTGAATTGCCTGCCCTTTTTCCAAAGGTCATAAATTTTATTTTATTTCCTGAGTTCCAGCCAAAACTCTCTGTTCAGCCAGGTTGGTTTTCTTCCCTGCCAGCTCACCTTTTGGCACATGGGGATGGACTGCTCCTGTGCCTTTAAGATTTTGTTCCTGAAGAATATCCAGCTTTCCTGGACTCCTTTGGCCTACCATCTTAAGTTTTGTGAAGATCCTACTAGCGCTTGCCAGAGTTATTCAGATCATGTAAAAAATTAATCATGATGTGGTCAAATGATAAAATTGCAAGTAGCTTTCATATAATAAACAGCTTTCATATTACTGTTGTGACATCTGTATGGTGTTTGTTTCTTAGCTGGGGAGAGGTCATTAATTTTATTTTCAGTACTACAGACTCATAGTAGCCTTAGGCAAGAAAGCTTTCTGTTTTTTAACCTGAACAGAAAATCCTGCATCTTCATCTTGGACCATACAAGATCTGGGCATCTCCAGTTCTGCCAACCAGGAAGAAAACCCAAAAAGTAATCTCTCTTTTCTGTATAATTTGGAAATTTGATTCCTACTGAGCTACAGAATGATGGGTGAAATCTCAGAAAAACCAGGCATGTGTGGATTTTGCTCATCTTCCACAATGCCTGAACTTAAACATGATAAATACTATTATGGCAGATGTAAAATGATGAGGTAAAGCCCAGTAAGACTTACGGCCTCATATTAATACAGGACAACTAAGAGGAATATAGTAAACAGATAGGTTAGTGAAGATAGATGCATGAAATGGAACTGATGTGTAAGGCAGTTTTGTTATTACAGTCAGTGGGGAAGGTGTTATGCTTTTATCGCCTACTCTTGTATGAGTCTTTTAATTAGTTTGTGCACAGGAGAGTCACACCATATAAATAAAAATGCTGGAGGCATATTTTTCTGTGAGTGTTTACTCTGAAGATCACTGTTAGCATGCCACTATTATCAAACTCCACCACAGACTGAGACAACCTCATGTTTTACATTGCCTAATATTAACCTTTTTAATACTATTATCCCAATTGCTATTTCTGAAACTACAGAGCAGGTAAAGCCAAAGTACAAGTAAACAGAACTCCATTTTTATTACCAAGCTCAAAATTAAGAACAGCATCTCTAGTCTTCCTGTTTGTTGATCTCTCCAGTAGGACCATACTGATACCAATAGCAATTAAGGCAATACTGATGCTGTTATATCCTACCACACTCTGCTTTGCTGTGTTCAGTTATTAGGCTGTGATCATTACCTCACTTGCATAGGTTGCTACTTAGTACAATGAACTGTAATTATTTACCCAGTTTAAAACTCAATCAAGTAACTAACGGTTGGAAAAGTTTTCAGCACTGTGTCCAAACTTTTGGGGTTTTGTTTGGTTTGTGGTTTTGTTTTTTGTTTTTTTCCTAATTCTCAAAAAGGAACAAGAATTGTAGGAGCTTGGAAAAACACAAAGGAGTAATGTATTTTAATAGACCTTCAGTTTTATTACATCAGAATTGTCCTGAGCATTTAATCACTAGATCAGGATCTTGTTACACTTGTTTCCTGCAAGGGAGTTTAGCATCATTTGACACAAGTAATACGTCCTGCTGTGAAGCATTTGACACTAAAGAAGACCAGGCCTGAGATGAACTAACACAGTGGAGGAAGGAAGCATGAAAATACTGTTCTCTTCCTTTTTGGTAGGTTTGGTGAGTGTTTCAAAAGTTTCTGAGCTTTATAAAATGTGAGAATCTTCAAATTAATTACTTAAAAAGTACTAATCTGGAGTAAAAGTAGAGTCAACCATTTCTGTAGTAACGGATTAGATCAGTGACAATCGTTTAAAATTATGTATGCATGAAGATGTATTTTTAAAATTACAAGAAAAAAGTTCCAAGCCTCAAATTATTACTAACATTTAAAATGTATCACAAGAACCTGAAATTTAATGTATTTTAAATCCCTTGTGATGAGGGTTCCAGTTACCAGATTACAGAAATATTGCCAGACACCGATATAAGAAATGGGGTAGAGTAGAAGGCATTAAATTAGTTTGGCAAATTTGGAGCTTAGCAACAAGACAAATGTTTTTAATATTCATTCTGGTTTATAATATTAAACATACATTTATCTAAAAGAAATATTGTAAATGACACTTCTTTGTCTTGATGGAAAAAAGCTCTGGTTTGGCTGTTGTTTAAATTTATCACTTTGTTGAGTGCACCTCAGTTTTGTTGTACTGTACCAAACATTTATCTAAATGAAAGTGTACGAGACCCAGAGTTGCCCTTCAATCACTATATCCTTTATGAATTAGAGTTCCATTTATCAAAATTACAGCGAGAAGAGTAAGGTCTCACAGGGCTGTCTCATTACAAGGCTTGTAAACACTGTCCTTACAAAGAAATGGTTTAACACCTAACAAATCAAAAACTGATTTGGAATAGAATTTATTTGAGATCATCTATCTT